AGATAATATATTGAAAGAATGAGCCTATCAGAAAATATGAAATGTTTTTTTGATCCCAAACTGCGTTTTTTTTTACCAATTCATATAGATAGTTTATTATTGATGATTAGGAACAAAGAACTCAAAGAACTCTCTATTTAATAATGCAGTACTATAGATATGTGCGTCAGTTCTTATCTCAAATTAAACTAGACAATATTAATTTCTTTTATTTTGTTGTCTAAAGAAAGTGCTATGTTTCCCAACAATTAGCTCAGTTCTATTAAAGTCTCAAGTTTTTTCATAAATTATGAATACACTGTATTGTATCAGACTATAAACGATCTTTATTTCATATTCTCATCGTTATAAAAATGCGTAATCTCTTTTTTCCTAAATGTTCTTGTCGAAAAATAGTCTAAGATTTTATTTCATAAGCGAAATATTTCTTAGTATAGAATGCAAATAAACAATATTATCTCGTGAGATATTTTCGGTTTATTCAGACCTATCTAAAAATAAACTTCATTAGATTTAATAATTACAATATATCAACACTTAAGTATTATCAGTATATCTTCATAGACAAGTACTGAAGAATCGATATAAGTGATACTTACTCGAATTTTCTTTCTGTTAAAAAATGATCATTGATAATTTTAACATTGCTTAGTTATCAAATATTAGTTGTGTGTTTTTTTTTCATGTTCCTATTTCTTCTATACCATTGGGTACATATTTAGATGCCATTTTTTTCATTAGAAAGATAACACGTATATAACCTTTGGTATCCTTGAATAGAAAGAAATTTTGTCAGTTTATTTAATGCTAGATTGATATAAAAAAATATTGAATATTTATTTTAGAAGGAAAAAAAAGTAACGAAGAAAACCAACTATATTAATATCACGTGAATAAAGAGACAAGGAAAAGAAAAGGTAGAAGAACTTTACACTATATTCAAACTAAACATATAATTATTACATGAAATCGTCGTCATTATCATTATTTTCTTTTGGTAATATAGGCCATTGATATTTTGCATCAGTTGCTAAATCGCCACCATCATCATCGTCAGCATATTTTCTTGCAAGATTTTGTTTAATAATTAAACCACGAATAAGTTTTCGCCAATTTTTATAAACACGTTCATCTTTTTTCTTTATCTCTTTTTCAATCGTTATTTGTTTTTGTTCTTCAAGTGCATCACGTAAAGTTTGTTCAAATTCTTTACATATAACAATACCTTCTATCACTGGATGAGATCCACCACCATGTGCATCGAAACCTAAATGAATGTTTTTTTTTCAAAATAATTTTCCTGAATTGTTTTACTTACCGGTAATTGCTTCGGCATAATTAATTTGTAATTTTTTACAAAGTCGAGCAGCATTAGATTCATTAATATGAACACAACCATGTGGTAACATTTCTGGTTTGAATAAATCAACATTTCCATATTCATTACATGGTACAATACCATCTTTTGCTGTTGGTGGAACATAATCAGATGTTTGCCATTCACCAAATAATTCTAATTCAGGTCTTGTTGTTACACCCATTTTACGATCCATCTAAACATATGAATTACAAAAAAACCTAATAAATATTTTTACAAAATAAACTAACATTTTTTATTCGTCCATCAACAATTTTATATGGTTCTTCATCTTTATTGACTTGTCGTGCTTCTTTAAGCCATGTTTGTTTTGAACGTAAAATATGAATATTTTCTCGAGGATAAATTGGTTCTTCCTAAAAAAAAATTATTTTCTATTATTATTCATATAATAGGTACAAATTTATATTTAGAAGTCATGCCTTAACATTCTTAGCACGATGTAAAAAAAACAAGAGAGTATTTGACATGTTTATAGAATTACGTATATACATTAATTTTACTTACTTATGTGATCCGCGAAGAACAAATAAACGCATCTTATACATAAAGATAGAAATTCCTTTGTTTAAAACTATTTTGCACTTAAATTCTAGTTTAGATAAAACTAGCTTCTATCATACTCGTAGGAATGTCGGTTCGCGATTCTATTCTTTTAAACGGCATTCCTTGACGGAGATGACTAATACTACTAAAAATCTGATGAATTTATTCACTTACTTTAAGCCATCCAACAGGAGGTGTATCATTTGGATAGATTCCTTCAAATTTGAGTAATTTCGATTTCAATACATATAATGGATGACCAACGAGTTCTGATTTTGATTGAGGAATTGGTTGTCTCGCTAATTGATCTTTTTGTTTTATAAAGAATAAATAAAATAAATAAATTCAATTTTCTTTTTACAAACCTTCAATTTGTTTATTTTCATGTTGAGAATATCGAGATTTTGTTTTATCTTTTGGTTGATATTTTTTCATTAATTTTTGATACCATTTTGGATCACCATTTGTTTTATGTTCAATATGTGCTGTACGATAAGGTGTTGTTAACCATTTTTGTGAATATCTTTTCGTTACATCTTTTGCATATGAACTCGATAAATCAGTATCAAATGCCCATACATAAAGCATCGAAAATTTAATATTAACTTCAAAATCCATAATAGAATTAATTTTTGATGTATAAACATCAATTGGAATATAACCATTATCGGTTGTTTCAAGAAATATTTCAATCCAATAATAACGAGGCATTAAACGACGAGATTCTTTTTTAGTTTTTACCGGTTTATCAGTTGTTGCTGATGGTGGTGAAATTGCTCGATTATTTTTAACTAATTGTGATGAAGTTGAAGCAACAACACGAGATACATCTGATGAATGATCATGTGAATGTAATCGTGATGTATCTTCATTGCTCATACTAGTGCTATTATCATCATCGTCATCAGTTAAAGTTTGTTTTTGTTTTTTCTTAATATTTTTAGTAAGACTACCATGTGGTATACGAAGTTTTTCTTGTTTTTCAGCACGTGGACGAATTGGTGGTAGATCAGCAGCAAATACTAATCGACATTCATAATGAAGAAGTCGAACATAAATAGCAAAGAGAATAACACGAATAGGTGATGATGATTTAGTTAAATGTTCACTCATAGCTTGACGTAATTTTTCAAGTGTAACTGGTTGACTTTCTTGTTCATCATTTGATGGTTTATCCATAACAATAAAAACTTCATTAAAATATTTTACTAGACGATGTATATCATTCATATTTGTTGTTTTCTTATTATAAATTAATGTTTTTGTTATAGATTCATCAAGTAATGAAAACATAAGTGAACGAATTTCTTCATTATGAATATATGTTTTAATTAAATGAAAACCATGACCAAGATTACAAACAATATGATGTTTATGTTTTTGTAAAAAATTCTTTTTTAATACACGTTTTAATTGAAGTTCTAATTGATGTTCTTTAGAATTAAGATTTTTTTTTCGTCTTCCTTGAGCAGCAGCAACTTCTTCACTAGTTAAACTTACTTCAACTTCACCATTTACTACAGTTGATTGTTTTTCTTCACGTTCTTTAAGTAACTACAT